GCCAACACCACAATCACTAACTGTCGGAGGCTGGCTGAGGAGGCTGACAAATTCTTCCTGGCAAGTCAGGAACATTGTGTGGCCGCGCTTTTGCCCGCACACATCGCTCCTGCGACACTGGACGGCTCCACACTCATCTCTGCAGCCACTTCTCGTCGGCGGCAATCTTCTGGCCCCCAACAGTCTCCAGCCTTGTGTTTTTATCATGCCAAGTTTGGATCCAAGGCTAACAAATGTCGTCCACCATGCAGTTTCGGCAGGTCGGGAAATGCCGGGGCCGGCGCTCAGTAGTGGCCATGAGTGTCGGCCGCGTAGGCAGGCTGCTTTTCATCCGCGACAGCATCTCCGGACGGCGTTTCCTGTGTGACACGGGAGCACAGAGGAGCGTCCTGCCCGCATCCCGTTTGGACATGGTGACCGACGGCCACGGCCCACCTATGGAAGCTGCCAATGGCAGCCCCATCCGCACGTACGGAACGAGGTACGTTGAATTGTGTTTCGGAGGACAGCGGTTCGGCTGGGATTTCGTTACTGCAAAGGTGGCCGTTCCCCTCCTCGGAGCCGATTTTCTGTGTGCACAGGGACTGTTGGTGGATGTAAAATACCGCCGTTTGATTGACGCTGCCACATTTTGTTCTTATACGTGCACACTCAGCGGGACTGACCCCATGCGACTATCTAGCATGCTCTCAGCCTCAGATGACTTCCACCGTCTACTTGCCGATTTCCCAGCGCTTACTCAGCCCACTTTCTCCGCATCCGCTGTTAAGCATGGTGTGGAGCACCATCTCGTCACTATTGGCCCACCCGTCCACGCCCGTGCTCGGCGCCTCGACCCGACCAAGCTTGCCGTTGCAAAGGCTGAATTTGCAAATATGGAACGCCTGGGTATAGTCCGTCGATCCGACAGCCCGTGGGCATCACCCCTCCACATTGTCCCCAAACCGGGCGGTGGCTGGCGCCCATGTGGTGACTACCGGCGGCTTAATGAGGCAACGACGCCCGACCGATACCCGGTGCCGAACATACAGGATTTTTCAGCTCACCTGGCAGGCAAGGTGATTTTTTCCAAGGTGGACCTCGTCCGGGGATATCATCAGGTGCCGGTGCACCCGCTGGACATTCCCAAAACTGCCGTGATCACGCCATTTGGTCTTTTTGAGTTCCTGCGCATGCCGTTCGGCCTTAAAAACGCCGCCCAATCTTTTCAACGCCTCATGGACTCTGTTCTACGAGACCTACCTTTTCTTTTTGTGTACTTGGATGACATTGACCATTGATTTCCTGGGACACAGAGTCACTAAGGACGGTGCTGTCCCTCTCCCATCTAAGGTGGAGGCAGTAACACAGTTCCCACGCCCGCTCACTGTCAAATCCTTGCAGGAGTTCCTCGGCATGGTGAATTTTTACCACCGTTTCATCCCTCGAGCTGCTCAGCTTATGCGGCCTTTGTACGAGGCCTTGAAAGGTAAGCCCAAGCATCTCGTGGACTGGTCAGAGAGCAGGGACAAGGCTTTCGCCGACATTAAGGCAGCCCTGGCGAATGCCACCATGCTGGCGCATCCTTCTCCAACAGCCTCCATCGCCATCACCTCGGACGCCTCGGATTACGCTGTCGGTGCTGTCTACGAGCAGTGGGTAGGCGGGGCCTGGCAGCCGCTGGCTTTCTTTAGCCGTCAGCTGCGCGCCAGTGAGCGTAAATTCAGTACTTTCGACCGGGAGCTGCTGGGTCTCTACCTCGCCATCAGACATTTTCGTTCCCTGCTGGAAGGTCGACACTTCACTGCTTTTGTGGACCACAAACCACTGACTTTTGCCATGGCCAAGGTGGCCGAGCCGTGGTCTGCCCGCCAACAGCGTCATCTGTCCTTTATTTCGGAGTTTACTACAGACTTGCAACATGTCGCTGGTAAGAACAACTACGTGGCAGACTGCCTGTCACGGGCCGTGGCAGGGGCAGTCCATCTTGGTTTGGATTACCACCGCATGTCAGGGGACCAAACCACAGACCCGGACGTGCAACTCCTGCGGACCTCAACTACAGGGCTGCAGATCGAGAACGTGGTTTTTGGAGATGCTGGCACCACGCTCCTGTGTGATGTCTCCACAGGCAGTCCGCGGCCAATAGTTCCCACAGGATGGAGACAAAAAGTTTTTGATGCCATCCATGGTCTCTCCCACCCAGGTTCGAAAGCATCACAGAGGCTGGTTGCAGCTAAGTTTGTCTGGCATGGCCTTAAGAAGGACGTTAGGGACTGGGCTAGCACCTGTGTTGAGTGCCAACGGGCCAAAGTGCACCGTCACACTAAGGCCCCGCTAGGGTTGTTCCCGGTTCCAGAGAGGTGTTTCGACCATGTGAATGTGGATCTGGTCGGCCCTCTGCCATCTTCTCACGGTTTCACATACCTGTTGACCATGGTTGACAGGACCACCCGCTGGCCTGAGGCTGTGCCGCTGACGTTGGCGGCAACTGTGGAGATGACGCAGGCCTTCGTTGGAACCTGGGTTGCTCGTTTCGGCGCCCCTTCGGATATATCCTCTGACCGAGGCGCGCAGTTCACGTCGGAGCTGTGGAATGCTGTCGCACAGAGCCTCGGGGTAGACCTCCACCGCACAACTGCGTATCACCCACAGGCTAACGGACTCTGTGAACGTTTTCATAGGTCAATGAAAGCTGCCCTGCGTGCCAGCCTCCAGGACGGCAACTGGGTCGACAAACTTCCGTGGGTGATGCTGGGCATCAGGACCGCACCAAAAGAGGACTTACAGTCCTCCTCCGCCGAACTTGTTTATGGTCAGCCGCTGCGGGTCCCGGGGGATTTTGTCCCTAATACCACAGTTCCTTGGTCTGCTACTCTCCAGCGGTCAACTCTATTGGATAATGCAAGGCTTTTCGCACCTGTCCCTACTTCCCGTCACGGCCTCCCTCAGTCGCACATTCCCACTGGGCTTCAGACGGCTGATTATGTTTTCATTCGTCACGATGCCCACAGGGGACCGCTACGCCCGCCGTACGAGGGCCCATTCCGTGTTTTGGAGGCAGGGGACAAACATTTTTTGGTGGACAGGGGCGGTAAACCGGAGCGATTCTCCATTGATCGTCTCAAACCGGCTCACTTGGATGTGGCCAGGCCTGTTGACCTGGCCCAACCCCCTCGACGCGGACGGCCTCCGGTTCCGCCCCCATCCCCTACCCCCCTCTCTCCCGGCCCCCCCACACCCCATGCCCCACACCCGTGTCATGACGGGACGCCTGCCGCAGTGGGGTCTCATTGACCTTCGGTACAGCACAGCCGTTGTGGGCGGTTAATACGCCCACCTCCCCGTTGACTGTTGTTTTTACTTTGGTTATGGTGAATTCTGGGGGGACGTGTGTAGTGAATGTAACCGACATAATTCACCTTTCTTATTAAGTGTGGTTCTACATACCGTTCATAGTAAACAAAGCACTTGGTTCTGTCTGTAGTTACTGCTTGTAAGTATAACGGTTCAGGGATCGCGGTCCCTTTAAATGTTATGAAGGCGTGATGACGTGTAGCCCGACGCCGGTTGGTTTTGCTGGGCAGCGCCATTTTGTATGTAGTAGTTTTTTCCTTAAAAAATAAACGACACACGCTTTGGTGTGCTCAACGTGAGAAATTGTCTCTTGGACTTTACTGCAATTTCCACAAAGGCACATTTATTGGCCATTTATTATTCCCTCTTTGAGAGCCCTGAAGAAATAACATTTTGGCTTAAGGATTCAGTGGAAGTTCAATCTAAATCCGTGTTTATTTTTTCTTAAATATTACATAGGCTGTATTGTATGTATATTAGATACATTTCAAAATCACATTTTACCAATTTAATTACTGGTCACAAGATAAATAATCTATACCTACTATAAGTCGAAGGAAGTAATCTAAGCTGGAGCTGAAGTCTCAAATTTGTAATAATAAGGTACGTTTTTAGAATAATATTTTTCCAAGGAAAGAAATTGAATTAAAAGTAATAAATGTAAGGAGAATATAATTTTTCAAGCCATTACTGTATTTGTCATTCCTACAGCAAGTATCATGTATAGAAATGTGAAGGTGAGGTTAAAGGAGAAAAGATTATGACTCAGAGATATCTTAATAATGATAAAGACAATAAACATAGGGTGTTTTAAGATAAGAGACAGTCTATGAATATTAAATGCACAGAATGTGAAATTAAATTCTTATCAGATGCAATCACCTTTGACAATAATTTAGTTGTAATATTTGCTGAAAAATGTAGTTGGCTTTATACATATATTAAGCAGCAAGAGAGGATTTAGGCAGTCTAAACATTGTAAAAAAAATGTTGTAGAGTTTAAGTTATTCCAGCAAAAGGTGGGCCAATATGTTAAATGACACAAAAACGGATATGTTTTTGATGAAAAAAAATAATACTATAATTTGATATCAAATACTGATTTAGCCAAAATCACCTGCCAGCTAAATGATGCTTTAATACAGAGCTTAAAGGCAATCATTAACTAACCTCTTTGCAGGCAAAAAGCCTGTCACGTTTGAATGCTGTTGACAAAAAACTTTGGTAATCATTTTCTTATCTTCTCGTCATTTTCCCACCTCTCTCTACATTATATCAAGAAGATCAATAAAATTATCATCAGATACAAAATAGAACACAGGAGGACTATGGTTCCGGGTTATCTGAATTGCCATTTAACTTATCTGTTAAAGAGATGGTTTATTTTCTGAAGTTCCTAAGAATTTTTAGACTGTATTCCAAAGAAACCTTTAATCAGAAGAATATGGCATAATAAGGCCAGTTCCTTTTTTACGTGGCTTTTATTTAGTGATGAGAACTGATGCAGCACCTGCTGTTCCTAAAAGTGGTAAAACATTATCACTTTTAGGAACATCAGATAAGGTTTTACCACTTTTATGAACAGTGGTAAAAGTGGTTAAAACCTAATCCAAAAATACCTTTGATCAGAAAGAATTTTGAAAATTAGGCCATTTCCTTGTTTGAATGGTATATATTGAGTAGCAAGAACTGATGCAGCAGAGACACCAACAAACACATATAGTTCAAGATGAGGGTTACTGTGGTGGCATTGACATTATTTCTCTTCTGCCTGTCTGTGGCTGAAAGTACCACTCAACCACCAGGTGAGGCTGGTGATTCAGGTGATACCGTCATTCAGGCATCTAATTGCCAAGATTGCTGCACAGCCGAAGGTCAAACAATCGGGCAATTTGTTGTCCTCTTAAGAGAAATAGAAACAGAACTCAGAAACACTAAGAGAGAGCTAGAGGAGCTGAGATCACAAGTACAAGGTAAGAGCAGATTGACACTTGTCTCTTCTTTAGATTTGATTATGTAGAAATAAAATAAATGTTTTAATGACTGCATGTTTCTTCTTAAGGTACCAGGGTAGCATTTGGAGCATCCATTAGTGTCGGTGGAAATCTTGGGCCTTATAATACTGAGATCACACTCATCTACAAGAGAGTCTATGTAAACACAGGCTCATTCAACCGTGCAACAGGTAAACATAACAGTAGTGTTTTTGACTAATTTGTCTGCAAATCAGAGTTTTAAATATATTGCTTTACTTCAATCTGCATAATGTTGGACACAAATATCACTTGTGATTGTATATATATATATGAATATATTGTTAGGATAATTATCATTGATGATGTGCGAATTTATTACACCTTAATATTAGCTGCCTGTCAGAACTGATGTTAGTCCCAATAGTTTATCTAATTAAGACAGTTCCTTTGTCCAGATATAGAGTCATAATCTTCATTCTGTACGTGGCAAATATTTGGGAATGGAATGATAGCGGTGTCCTTCAGCTAAGAACAAAGTGTAATATTTTGATTAGGCTGGAGCCATGGATGTCTACTGGTGTGGCATAGTTGAGATCTATAAAAATGCCTCTTCAACTGTTTATTGGGGCTTCTTCTCAAGAGTGAGCCTGGGGTTATGCAGCTGCCTTCTGATAGAAATTTTAATCTTACTAAGATCAGAGCAGTTGCTTAGAATTATAGAAGGCACAACTTAAACCTCGAACCCAGAGGTCTAGTCGCCAAAGTTACACTGCTGCTTCAAGAAGTGTACTTTATATTTCGTCTTATGTAAAATAGTGTTATTTTAGATTTTATGCCTTTTACTAAGATACCTCAGGACTTAAAGAATTGTTTTATCCTCTCCAGGTATTTTTACAGCTCCTGTTAGGGGGATCTATTACTTCAGTTTTTCTGGACATAATGTATCTTCTAAACCAATGGGCCTGCGACTGATGAAAAATGGACAGCAAATGGTCTGTGTCTACAACCATGTTGCTGGAAACCGATATGAAACGGCAACCAATGGCATGACTCTTCAGCTTGAAGTTGGAGACCAGATTTATATGAGACTGCGTCAAAATACCTGGATTTATGACAACTCAAACGACCACAGCACTTTTGTTGGTCATTTATTATTCCCTCTTTGAGAACCCTGAAGAAGTAACAGCCTTTTGGTGTTAGCATTCAGTGGAAGTTAACTCTAAATCTGTGTTTATATTGCTTAAATGTTACCTGATCTGTATTGTATGTATATTAAAGGAATTTCAAAATCACATTTCACCAATGTCATTACTGGTCACAAGATCCCTAACCTATTTTGTTAAAATGTAAATTAAGATGTGTAAACTAATGCAGGTACTTATAATAGGATGTAATCTAAGTTGGAGCTGAATTCTCTAATGTGTAATAGGAAGGCAAAATTGATACATTTTTTTCCAAGGAAAGAAATTTTAATTAAGAGTGCTAAAAAAAAAAGCAGAGTATCATTTTTCAAGCCATTACTGCATTTGTCATTACAGCAAGTATCATGTATAAACATGTGAAGTTGAGGTTTAAGAAGTAAAGATTATGACTCAGAGATATTTTGATAATGATAAAGACAATAAACATAGGGTGTTTTAAGGTAAGAGACAGTCTATGGCTATCAAATGCACAGAATGTGGAATTAAATCTTTATCAGATACAAACGCCTTCGGCAGTAATTTAGTTTTAATATCTTCTGACAAATGTAGATGACTTTATACATATATCAAGTAGCCAGAGAGAGTAAACATTGTTGTCACAAAGGGGTGGAGGTGGTTTTACAGGACCCAAATGCAGACACAAAACTTGTGGTGGTTACTTGAAGGTTTAATGAAAAACGTTTAACAGAAGCAAAAAAATATAAATCCACAAAAATCCAAAATGCTGAAAACCAAGAACACTCGCAACACTAAGGGGACAAAGTAACGATGACCAACCAGCAAAGAGTGACTGAACAGGAGGAGATTATATGGTAGAGGGAAACAAAGACCAGGCTAATTAGCAGATTGGGAGCAGGTGTGAACAGAGGCAAGAAGGGAGCTAGGGAGAAGGAGACTGGCACAAACGAGCAAACAGAAATTATCCAAGAACTCAAATACAATCAAAAATACCTAGAACACAACAAAGAAAAAGACCACCAATGAAAACTCAGAGATAAAACTTGAAAAAAAAACACAAAAAAAAAACGATGACAATAGTAGAAAAAGCTTAAAGGTTATTCCAGCAAAACGTGGGCCAATATCATGTTGGATGACACATAAACTCATATGAAAGAAATAAGCCAATACTTTTTAGAAATACAATGAGCTGACATACAAACAGGCTGACTTTTCTGTGTGAGAAATATTTTTCGTCAGTCTAAATGGAATCCAACCTCTCTCTTAGACAAGATTTGATTTTTGGATAAATAAATGCTTGGCTAATATAATGATTGAATAACACTGAACCTGTAAAGTATCACGTAAACATCCTGCACTTTGAGGAGATTTTATTAGTGATCTTACACATTATATACAGGTTATATGAGTTTCTTAATTAATTAAGACAGAACAGTACAACATGTGAAATCTTGCCATATTTCAAGGGCTCTTAATTTTTTGATCAGCAGTAGGTGCAGACTTCCCATTAGTCAGTCACTGGTAACTGTGGCTATGACCGATAACTATCTTTAGGTCATAATTTATTTTCAGAAATAATCAGTATCATTCATGCATTTCAGCTGGGAATCTGCCTCTCTGAGTCCCCCACAGACACAGCAGGATTATTTAGGAACAGGCAGTCATACCCCTCATCCCTTCCGTTCTGAGGGGCAACCCAGCCCTAAATAAGTAGACATAAAAAAAACATGAATCGAAAAGCAGATGAACTAGGTGTTGTACATAGTGTAAATATGATTAAAATTTTATTCCCTGCACATAAAAACAAGACTGACAGGGAGGAGTAAACTGTGAATAAGAACCAATGATTAGGTGACAAATAAGGAAAAGAAAGGGTATGTGAAGAAGGACCTGGGGGTTAATTAGAGTCCAAAAGCCTCAGCAATGAAGCTGGACTGGAACCTTTCTGTTTTTCTTCTTTCCCCACATCAGATCCAAGATTTTAGGATAATTATCATATTTCCTGATATTATATTTGTTAGGATAATCATCCTGACAAAGACTTTGAGGTAAAGATGATTTTGATGATATTCTGGGTTCTGGTCCAGCAGGTTGATTCATAACATTTAAAATCAGAGTAAGCATTGTTTTCAATATACACTTTAAGAATAATTTGTACCTCACTTATAATAATCTTTTAATAATCTGTGGAGGCCTGATTGTTTGAAAACAAGTACCTGGCATGCAATGTTAATGTTTTTTTTGTTTTTCTTGATAGCTTCCCTTAAATAGTTTTAAATACTTGCTGCAAACAATTAAAACTTCCTTAAAACATACAGTATGCTGTGTTCCTTCTGACTGAGATGTTTACAAACCTCCACCACTTCTAAACTTACTCAAAACAATATGGGTTTTTAAAGAAGTGTGTCACTGTTATGATGTTTTAATATAGATCAGCTGTTTAAAGTAGTCCAGAGATTTCATTTTTAACTTTACAACTTGTGGTGACAAGATGCAAACTTGAACTTCTTCTGTAGTTTAGTAGACATTGAGACGGGGGACTTGGGTTCAGATCCTGGTTGCATCAAGAAGGGCATCTCTTGTAAAAGCAAGTTGTATGACTTGATGTAGTGACCCCATGTAAAAAAAATTAATAAATAAGCAGCTGAAAGGGCTAATCAGATTAAGTCTATAAGGTCTTTGAGCATGTGGTTCCATTCCTAAAACAATGTTTGGGGCCAGCAAAGGTTCACCATTGGGTCCTCAGCTGGCGTATATGTATGGGACACCCCTGGAACATCAGATCCCATGTTAATGTTCCATTCCCATTCATTGACTGTAGATAGATCTCTAAGCTGAGTGTCATTTGTTATGGTTCATGTTATAAACCCTGGCAGCATTCCTAGATAATATGCTAGTGTAGCTTAACAAGTCTCTGCTATCTGACATATCTTTGTCACCAGGCCGCACGTGCAGTCAGATTTGTTTACAGAAAGTAAAAGACATTTCTTCATATTTATATCTAAGAGAAATTAAACTTTAACCAAACCAACCTTTGATCAGGATGAATGACATATTTTTTCACAGGAGAATTTCCTTGTTTGTGTTGATATACAATCAATAATGTCAACTGATATAGAACTGAACCATTATCTAGAGTTACTTTGATAAAATGTGTGAAGCAATGAGGTGTTGGAACCCTAGTTTGGTCTTGGGCTCATCTAAAAGATGTATAGATTTCCTGATGGAGGTATAACAGCTGTTCAAGTGACTGTTTTCAAGTCACTTGAAAATAAGTGGGTGAGTTTTTGAATCTATTTAACAAATCTCCTTTAAGTAGGAGGTATTATTTCACATGATGATGTTTTCTTGACATTGAGCTGTGGACATTTTTACCCCAACACGTTGTTCCCGGGTGATCAGGCCAGTTTGCTGAAAGCAAGTGGGACCACATATCTGGCCTGTATCTAAGTTTTTCTAGTCACATTTCAGACACACTGACATGTGGTCCTGAATCGGCCTTAAATAAGATCTTTTGGTACGAGTCTCTATTGGAAACTACACAGGCAGATTAGAAGTGGCTCTGACATCATTATCCATTGCATTCATTGCAACATTACAGGAAACAGTAGCAGTTAGCAAAACAGACAGGAGACCAAAATAGTTGTGCATATTGTAGAGATAGCAAGATATTTATAAAGAGGGATAATATGTTATTATTCAGAGGAACCCTCTAAATGTTGGACACAGTTTGTGTTGTAAAATTCCGATACAACCCTTAAAACAGAGGTTGTTATATGACATACGCTATATATGTTAATGTGACCTTCTGCTCCTCCTGATGGCCAAAACACTAGTTTGTAGTAGTCTTCTACCTTAGGAGTTGAGAGGAGATTAATATGTAATTAAACAATTACCTCAACAGGATAAAGTTCTGAATAAACTCATTCTCTGTGAAGTTTTTAACATCCCTGTCCCACCATTGCTGGTTGTGTCTGCAGTGCTGAAATGGCAGTAAGATCTCCCTAAAATGCCAATAGAAAGAGTACACTCTCCTTTTATTAATGTGTTTCCTCCTCAACACCGGTGACACAGTAAATGGCTTCTCTTGTGCGCTGGAGTCATAACAACTGCTTTTCAGTATTTACTGTTGTGCTGCATGTGACGGCACTTGTTCTTATAGCCATGCAAGTCAATTTGGAGCTGCAAACAGTTCATTTTGGCCTTGAACAGGGGCAGGGCTGTGAATGAGTATAATTCCAGTGGAAGGGAGTTCTAGCCACTGCAAAGGCACAATCTCTCCACTGTTTGTACCTCAACTGTGAGACCACCAGCTGGTGTTGTTCAGAAGAGGGAAGGGTTCCACTAGGCTGGATATGGGGTCAAAATGTCAAAAAGCTAAAATCATGCAAGACAATGGGCTATACAGAAAGCAAACGGGATTTTCAACAAAATTCTTAACTGAAGCAGCAGCTATTGGAGAGAGTAAAAGACAAATGTGATTGGGTCATGGTTGATTGTATTGGTGAGGAGCTTAGCAGCTGCATTCTGCATGAGGTGTAAATAGTATATATATCGGCTTGATCGAGTCCAGTATAAATATCAACTAATGAACTAATACACTAATAAGCAAAGCTGGAAAAAGCTTGCCTCTACAAGGAATTAATTTGATAACTGAATTTGAATTTGTTGTTAAAAGTCATCTTTAACAGAATGGCTGAAGTGTCTTTCAGGGCTGTATTTGGTGGGTTGGAAAGATGACAGGATATGAACTCTGCTTTGCATTCTTTCAAAGTCGTAGTGATAACGAAGTTTTGATGTCAACAAAATGTGCTTGAATGGACTTGCTCTCACCAGGTAGAATGGAAAAGAATGATTACTTTATATTAGTTTTACAACCAGGGCACACCCTGCAAGAGCTTGGCACTGTCTCACATGTCTGTCAGGGAAAAAAAAGTCTAGTATAAAAGTATAGATCACCATTTGATTATTTATTAGTAGGTTTTTCAAGCTGCACGTGCAGCATCTAATCTAATCTAATCAACAACAGTACAGGCTGTTCTAGTTGTCAGCCCCAACCTATCAAGCAACAACTTGATCA